CATTCTTCTCTTGTTGACATGTGTCTCGGTCAGGTGCTAAAGTGTGGCGTTTAAAGCCTAGTCATTACCGAGGTGTCGGGCATGCACGGGCTTAGTCATCGCTCGTGCATTCGTGGCGTGCCGTGTGTGCAAGCAAGGAGGTGACTCACCACCCCACTTGCACACCCCAAACTTATCTTGGACGGCAACTTTGAAGAAAGAGATTTGGAACTTGCTTTAGCTGATCATGGTACTTAGTGATATAAGCGTGTGTGTTTAAGGGGCTTGATGGCGCGCGCTAGTGCATGATGCGCGGCGATGCGCGCTGCGCGCGTTCGCCTGCACGGCTTCGTGTACGGTTACATGCAACGTGCGCGTACATGTATGCGCATGACGTACCTTGTGCTCGCTCATGACTTAATTTGGTTTTTAACCTTAAACTTAAATCCAAACATACTTAACTGTCAATAATTAATCCCGATTAGAAATGCCCGTTTATAAAATAAACGGTTCGGAAATTAATTATCGAATTTGACTCGGTTAATAATTAACCGGATAAACTTTTCGACTTATCGTCGAACTTATTTGCTGAAAATGAACGGAATCAGTAAAGATAATACATCATTTCTATTAACAAGAAGTTGGGTTATTACAATCTACCCTCCTTAAAATATTTCCGTCCTCAGAAATATAAAACAAAACATATATACATGAAAATATACATATCAAAACTGAAAGTCAGGAAAACGAGCGCGAATGTCAGCCTCCTGCTCCCAAGTGGCTCCGTGGCGGTCCCACTTAATACGAACGAGGGGAACATCACGCTTCTGGAGCCGTCGAACCTGTCGGTCCAACACAGCTACCGGTCGCACCTCGTAAGATAAGTCTGGATGAATCTCAATATCAGTATGAGGAATGACATGATCGGGGTTGCACACGTACTTGCGTAATATAGATACATGAAAGACATACTGAACACTGGATAACTCGGGAGGTAAGGCTAAACGATACGCAACATCGCCCACTCGCTCGAGTACTTCGAACGGGCCAATGAACCGAGGGTGTAACTTCCCTCTCTTCCCGAATCGAATAACTCCGCGAAATAGACTAACTCTGAGAAAAGCATGCTCGCCAACCTCAAACTGAATATCTCGTCGATGATGATCGGCGGTTGATTTCATTCTGCTGTGAGCTGTTCTGAGTCTCTGCCGAATCAACTCGACTTGCTCGGCTGTCTCCTCGATCAGCTTCAGACCGAGTACTCGACGTTCACCGACGTCGTCCCAATAAAGAGGGGAACGACATTTACGAACGTATAGTGCCTCATAAGGAGCCATCTGAATAGAATAATGGTAACTGTTGTTGTACGCAAACTCGACGTACGGCAATAACGACTCCCATTTAGCACCTCTGTCAACAGTCAAAGCACGTAACATATCCTCCAGCGTCTGTATAGTCCACTCCGTCTGCCCGTCAGTCTCGGGATGGTAGGCTGAACTGAAGGATATCTTCGTACCCATTGCCTCGTGTAAACTCTTCCAGAATGTACTGGTGAATCTGGGGTCTCTGTCTGACACGACAGTAACAGGTACTCCATGGAGTCGGACGATCCCACAGACATAAATCTCAGCCAACCGATCCAAAGACATACTCATCGATACTAGCAAGAAGTGAGCAACCTTAGTCAATCTGTCGACCACGACCCAAATAGCGTCGTGATGTTCAGACGACCTCAGTAACCCCGTGACAAAATCCATCGCAACCTCCTCCCACTTCCACCTCGGAATCGGCAGTAGTCGTAGAAGGCCTATGGGACTCTTATGCTCGGCTTTGACTTGCTGACAGGTCAAACATCTTCTTACAAAGTTGGCCACGTCTTTCTTCAATCCTCTCCACCAAAACGACCCTTTCAGGTCATGATGCATCTTTGTACTTCCTGGATGGGCTAGATAGGGTGCGGTATGAGCCTCAGATAAAATCTCCTTCCTCAATGCTTCGACTTTCGGCACCACAATCCTGCCACAAAACTCCAAGGCCCCATCAGTGCCTCAGTGAAAACCCTCGACGCCTCCGGCACGAACCTTGGTATCAATCGTACGAATAAACTCATCTGAAGCCTGCTCTTGCCGGATTCTTTCCCTCAGCGTTGACTGAACCTGCATGGACCTCACACTCCCCGTACTGGCAATAGGAAGTGCATCAATCACCTGAATCCGCATCCGGGCAAACTCTCGTATCAACTGGCTCTGCTGAGTAACAACGTATGTCAAGTCACCCTTCACCTTGCGGCTTAGGGCATCAGCAACAACATTCGCCTTTCTCGGATGGTACTGAATCGTACAATCATAATCCTTGACGAGCTCTAACCAACGGCGCTGTCTCATGTTGAGCTCCTTCTGAGTAAAGATATACTGCAAGCTCTTATGATCAGTAAAGATTTCGCATTGACCGTCGTAAGATAGTGTCGCCAAATCTTGAGGGCATGAACAACTGCAGCTAATTCCAAGTCGTGCGTCGGATAGTTCTGTTCATGTGTTTTAAGCTGGCGTGACGCATAAGCAACGACCTGGCCATCTTGCATAAGTACACATCCCAAACCCTGCCTCGAAGCATCACTATAGATGGTGAAGCTCCGAGAAGGATCTGGAATAGTCAACACCGGTGCCGTCGTAAGCCTCCTTTTCAGCTCCTGAAAACTCGACTCACAACGGTCTGTCCATTTGAACTTTACAGACTTCCTCGTCAGCTGAGACAAAGGGAGGGCAATCTTCGAGAACCCCTCGATAAATCTGTGATAATAACCTGCAAGGCCGAGGAAACTACGTACCTCGGACAGATTCTTCGGTGCTGACCAATTCTGGACTGAAACAATTTTGGAAGGATCAACTTCAATACCTGCTGAAGTAATGATGTGGCCAAGAAAAGCCACTCGCTGAAGCCAAAATTCGCACTTGGAGAACTTTGCATATAACTTCTCGCGTCTAAGGGTCGAAAGAACGGCCCTCAGGTGCTCCTCGTGCTCCTTCTGGCTCTTGGAATAAATAAGAATATCATCGATGAAGACAATAACAAACTGGTCGAGAAAAGGATGAAATACACGGTTCATCAAGTCCATGAATACTGTCGGGGCATTACTGAGGCCAAACGGCATAACCACAAACTCGAAGTGACCGTATCTCGTACGGAAGGCTGTCTTGGGTATGTCTGACTCCTTGATTTTCAGCTGATAGTAGCCTGAACGCAAATCAATCTTGGAAAAGACGCAGACACCCCGCAGCTGATCAAATAAATCATCAATCCTAGGAAGCGGATATTTATTCTTGATCGTCAACCGGTTAAGATCCCGGTAGTCGATACACATACGCATGGATCCGTCCTTCTTCTTGACAAAAAGGACTGGTGCTCCCCAAGTAGAAACGCTCGGTCGTATAAAACCGAGATTCAGCAACTCTTGAATTTGGGTCTTTAATTCCTGCAATTCTTTACGCGCCATTCTGTACGGTGCCTTTGAAACGGGTCCGGCTCCAGGGATAAGATCAATAGAAAATTCCACCTGTCGGCTAGGTGGACCTCCGGGAAGCTGGTCTGGAAACACGTCCACGAACTCACGAACAATAGGAATGTCATGAGGTGAACGTGCCTTTAGCTCATCTCCAACGAGGCTCACAAGATAATCCTGGCAATCACCCCGTCGAAGAATCTTTCTGGCTTTCGCCATAGAAATAACATGTGGCAGAGTACGAGTCCTGGAGCCGTAATAAGTGATCTGATCACCTCCCGGAAGATAAAGGGTAATCTCCCGATCGAAACATCGAATATCTGCTTGAAAATGAGTTAGCCAATCCATACCGAGTATGAGGTCAAAATCCCTCATCTCGATAACATAAGTATCAGTACTCAGAATACGACCGCCGATGGAAAGGCTGAGATCGGTGGCTCTAGCGTCAGTCACTATCTTTCTTCCCGAGGCTAAACTCACCTCGAGAGGATCGATAGCGGTAGTGGAATGAACCCCTATAGCTTCGAGACATCGACGTGTTGG